CTGAATATGGAACAAGCAAAGCTTAATACTAAACAATATATATATTAGCTGTATAATACCAGTAGGCCAGCTCTAATAGTAATTTGGTGTGGCTTTACGGGCCAAATGTAATTAGGCTGTGGGCCAAATTTGGCCCGCGGGCCAGAGTTTGACACCTATGTTGTAAAATAACAAATGTTGTGTTGTTTTTTTTCCCAAATATTTTTGAACCCAGCTGATCCATATAGCACAAGATGCCTGACCCACCTCATCTGTGGGGTCGTAGTATTGTTCCAGGTAGGGGTGTGCCAGCGCCTCCTCCACCTCGATCCTCTTGTGAGGGTTAAAGGTCAACATCTTGTCCAGCAGGTCCAGAGCTGTAACACAAAGATGGACTTACTGTAGGTGACTCTGAAACAACAACAATATCCTTGTCTGTCCACTAAAGGTCCTAGTCTACATCCAACATGTTATCATTCCTTAAACCATCCTTTGACACCAAAGTCTGTCAGTCCTCTGATCAGCTCTTTACTGACCACGAATTTGATGCATCTCTTCATCCAACCTTCATCCACTACTTAATACTGTGTGTCAATGAGGGTTTACTGAATTTGCAGGATGGCTCTAATAAACATCTGTGTTGGCCTGTGTCACTGCATGATATCAGTTTGGAAGATGTCACGGTGATACGGTGAATATGTGGTGACTCATTACATCTTATCGTTTAGAGTTTCTTGGAATATCTGTCCCACACCCTTCACACTAAACTATACTGAATTTAACTTGCGTTACAATCGATTCACACATTGGCAATAGGGGGAAAAAAAAGTCTTAATACATGGTAAATGCTGCATATTGAAATATCTAAATTTGATACCACAGAACAATTTTTGTGTCTTGTTTGGATACAAATTGATGGCGGTAAAGCACAACTGAGTTTAAAGTGCTTAGATGGATGGTTTTAAGTGGTTTTATCCTTGTCGAGTACCTCGGCTTCGTACTCAACAAAAGCAAAATTTAAACTTACTCTGTGAGGTCCTGACTACAGCTCTTCAACAGATGAGCTGTTAAATTTAACCCCAGTGATCCGGAGCAGATTTCAACGCG